TGTGATGTCCGCAGTCGGCCTTCTTAGTGTATGCCCAATCCATCTCCACTTCCTTCTGCATATTTGTTGGGTGATAGGTTGTGGGTTGGTTCGTTGCCGGCCAGCAAGAGTTCCTTGCTAATTCCTTCTGATCTGATCTTCAGTATCGAGTGAGTGAGTGTAGGCAGCTGTTGATGAATGTCTATAGTTTGTTGCAAGTGCTTTTCGTGACACACCAAGTTTCTCAACCATGTAGCAGCACTGACTTGATACTGGTGTTAAAAATCCGGATCTTGTTCTTTGTGCATATCACATCAGTGCCTTTAATACTGTTTTCATTAACACTATTCAGGTGTAATAAGTATTTCTTTTAAAAATATTGTACAAGGAGCAAATTTGTTGAGATCCTACCTGCAGAGAACTTCATAGTGTACCACGCACGTTGTTTGGAATAAAGTAATTATTAATTTTGACCTCCAAAATTTATAGGTACAAAATCTCACGACCAATTTCAAAACCTGTCAATTTCTGAATCGTAGTCATCTTAATACTCAATATAATGAAAACCTGTTGACCTTTAATTACGCTTACTCAACCATGACGTCATTTTTTATCAATTATAGAATAACATTGTGTACAACCCTCCCCGATTCATATATATAAAGCCACATCATCCTGGAGAGGCAAAAGGATGCACTGGATTCAAAACTACGACCGGAACAGGCAGGCTTCAGGAAGTACAAATCATGTGCGGACCAAATTGCAACGCTACGCTACGCATCATCATAGAACAGAGTATATAATGGCAGTCAACTCAACTCTACCTCAACTTTATCGACTTTGAGAAGGCCTTTGACAACGTGGAAAATGCTTCAATACTACGGAATACCGCAAACCTTTATCAACCTCATTCAACAACTGTATGAAGACGCCACATACCAGCCAAGTAATTCACAATGGAAAGCTCAGTGATGCCTTGGAAGTGAAGACAGGAGATTTCGCCGATGACTTATGCCTAATGTCACATAAACTTGAAGATCTGCAGGCAAAAACTAACAAGTTGACAGAAGAGGCAGCGAAGACGGGACACCATTCAAGTGAATGTAGAGAAGATAGAGGTGATGAAGATACCCAACCAACAACACCACCAACAACAACAAACTGCAATCACCATCAACGACAGAAACTTAAAGCAAGTGGCCTCCTTCACCTATCTAGGAAGCACTGTTTCAACTACAGGCGGCACTGACGAGGACATCAAAGTCAGAATCAAAAAAGCAGGACAGGCGTTCGTTAACCTGAAACCAGTGTGGAGATCTACTGCACTCAGCATATGGAACAAGATCCGGATTTTCAACACCAACGTCAAGTCAGTGCTTCTGTATGGCTCGAAAGGGATTTCCAGCAAACTACATTCATCAACAACTGCCTACACTGGCTCGTTACAGAAGCCCAAGGGACAAATAATGATAATAATAACAATATATATATATATATATATATATATATATATATATATATATATATATATCGAATGTTCATTCTTTCACTGCATAAATAGTTAGCCTTATAGTAGCCTAAACAGCTTCATCAATGTCGACCATCCTAAATCTGTTACTTTCCATCTCAATTCGGAGAATTCTTGCCCAGTTATTAGAGTACATATGTTTTTTTTATGATAAACATTGTATTCTATCCATCATTACTATATAACTAAGAACACAGGCAATATCGAACCATGTACGCAGTAGCCCATATGCCAACAGACACCGATCAATTCAGTCCAATCAACGACGGTATAATACAAGCAATAACACTAAAACTATACCCGTCGCACAAGATGTGGCTATCGTGGCTCGGCGGTTTAGCGGATGACACTATGGAGTTTAAAGCGGTCGGTCCCGAGTTCGAATCCCGGCGGGAACAACAATCACTGGGAGGCAGGCACATCCAGCTGATGAGTCCAAAACAGGACGAAATGCGCATCTGGATTCCACTGCTAGCCACTGTCCATCATTACTATTATATTCTACGGGCTGTAAAGGACTTGAGGAGAATCCACGAAATACAAGTATGCTAATTTCGCTGCTACTGTTCTTGCTTTATTCAAGACCAGAACAGTTAACAATCAAATCTATTAGGTGAGTTCAGCTACTTTTCTTATCATTCAGTATTTTGAAGAAAATTCGATCTACAACACCTCATTTGTGTTAATATACACGTTTGAGACGGTCGTTCATTACCCGTAATTATGGTTGAGGTCTTAACAAATTGTTTGTAGGTGTCGCAGATGCGTGTTGGTAGTGTCACTCAACTTAACAAAATAAGCATCTCACCTCCTAGTACATGAATAGTCTCGTCAGGTTGTCATTCATGGGACGAAATGCTCGGTAAACCTTGATAACAAAGCTTTTAAACTTCGGTGAAATACAAGTTTTTTGGTATAAAAACCTGAGAACACCAGTTAGTCCCCATATGTTCTCACCTACATTATTTGCTGTTAGGATGAATTACTGAAATACCTAGCAGCGAGAGAAAACCCAATTACTAGGAAACGCAAAAGTATGAAATGAGACTCTTATGTACGCCAAATTTGTAAAAGGAATTATATAGAGAAGTCTTATGACATTATCCATTCACTTACGAACTCATGGCGTAACTGGAAGCGATCGATTGGGTCTTGTACACAACTGGAAGCGAACGGGCAATTGGCACTTCCCGCACCGTGGATGGTTGGTTTCTCTGAAAAAGAAGGGATAGTGAGTGACCGCAGAGCCTAAGGGACATCCACAGGAGGCCGGTCACATACGGTTTTTCTGCCAGATTTTGGTTGTTAGTCTTAAAATCCAACTATGAATCATCGCTGTCGCAGACATCAGGATATTTTGGGGGTTGACGTTCTCAAATCCCCTCATCTCCTTTAGGAAAGTCAGCAGCAGCGTGGCAATACCCGTCATTCAAGCGAAACACTTTATTGCCATTACTCCCCCGTCCAAACAGCAGTATGACCTCACCCTCAGATCCCCATTATAAGGTAGCAATTTACACTATAGTGGTAAATACTTTTTGTCGAACTAGTATCCAGCAGATCTTCCTGGCATGGTAGGACCTCGAGAGAACACGCGTTCCATCAGGATAGCTCGTTGAGTCAGTGTGATGTACAAACCCGATCATTACGTCAAGGTAGTATCTATCGGTCGTAACTATAGCAGTGTTTTAGCCTAGTCGATGCTTTCCTCTATAAATCTATATCAGTTTGAACAAACAATAAGAATCGGAGCATTCAACTACTTGTTTCCTATTCTGAGTGATCGACGCCGAGAACTTGAGAGGCGGAAATTGGGCGTACAACTCCAAAGGGTAAGATGCTTATCATCGATTCACAAGTTGGTGTGATTGGTTTGCTAATGAAACTATGAATGTTGACCACTGAGTAATTCAACAGTACAAATAAGTAATGACCGACAGCAACAAGCATAGGCTTGAAGAATATGATGTGTAAAACAAATTCCACCGATATTTCGCAGTTCTGTTGCACTTAGTTTTTCTCACCGCATATTTTAAATTTCACAGACACTTGCTTTTGCACCCTTGTATCCGCTGAATGACGTGTGGCAGCAGCTACATGCTAAGCACTAAAAGGTTACATTCATCTTGGTGACTAGCAGTGGGAGCTAGAACGCTCGTCTCGTCCTGTTCGAGGCTCGTCGGCTGGATGAACCTGGACCCCAGTCAATGTTGTTCCGTCTGAGACTAGAAGCCATCGCTTCGAACGCCAAAGCGTTATCCACTAGGGTTACCACTTGAACAGCTGCTTGTATTTACAAAGATGTATACAACACATCATGAATATTAGGGCAGTATCGAGGCATCCCCATAGGAGGCCATCTGCCAACAGAGGTCGAGCAATTCGACTCCGTATAGCAAGGGGAAATTACAAGTACTAAACAACACTAGAACATTCGTTTTATTATGATCATTCCAGTTAGATAAGATGGTTTAAAGGATTCCTTTGATGTAGTTTACTGATGAAAAGCATCAAAATAAAACGAGAAACAACTTTATTATTTCCAACCTTTCAAAAGTAGTACAAGTGATTGTCTCTCATCTGCAAACTGTAATGCTTCACAGAACTCACAACACATCTAATTTACAAAGAAAGATGATATGAATAACATATCAAATTTAGTTATATGGTAAAAACACAGATATAAAAAGGAAGGTCAATGAATGATTCTCTTAAAAAGGATAAAACAAAATAATAAGAGACTTCAACCAGATAGAATGACGACTGTACAGCGACAAAGCTGACGATTACTTAGCTTTTGAGTGCATCTTATCAACCATCAGTTATTTTTTTTTTAATAAGTAGGGATTCTTATGAAAGAGAAAAAGAGATGAAGCATGAAATGATGAATTATAGTATAGATGAGAATAAAGATACCAGATGAATCGGATGACGACTAATTACAGAGATAATGAAGAAAACAATATGTATCATTATTAACAAGTTCCATAGACATATACAGAAAATGTCATACATACAGATAAAGTTTATCTTGTTAGTAATGAAACTGGGTACGTAAAATTAAACACTCGTAGTCAATAAGGAATAACATTTTGTCCACTTTAAAATATAAGTAGGTATATTGATTCTGAAGCGACATGAATATGCACAAAAAGTTAGGAAAAAAAATCAAGGGATTCAATAAGAATAAAGGTGTACATATAATAGATAGTACTATATTATATATATATATATATATATATATATATATATATATATATATATATATATATATATATATATATATATATATATATATAGTAGTGTATATTTAACAGCTGCACTGCATACGAATAGGCTGTCTAAAATTGATGGAAAATTACAAAAAAAGGAATGGGAACGGGAGAATATTAACTTGCACAATGAATTCACAAAAAGATTAGACAAGTTGGTCATGTTGAGGGTAGGGGGGCGGGGCGGCGGAGGTGGAGGGGACAGCTGCCTCTGAAAAATGCTAACCTTTGGCAAGGAAATTTCTCACATAATTATCCACTTCTTCCACATCACTCAAGGGTTCAGTAAAGCTCTACAAATAAGAAGTGAATGAATTGTATTAGGGTTAAACAGGTAATTAGACATACACGTTCATATTTCACAGTTTATTTTGTTGTAAAGATTTGAATTGCATCAGTGATGAGTGCCTGAAGTATGCAAACAAATTTCTGTGGTTTATAAACCACTGAGATTTGTGATGAAGTTAGTACTGATTACATTGCCTATGAAGCCAACGAAAGCTACGAGACTAAGTTATCCAGCTCAGAGAATCCAATGAAAACTAGTTTTACAGTGAAAAAAAAATATATCAAACTAACAGTAACCATGAATAACATAAAATCTGAAAATCAAAACTTGGAAAATAAATGTTGTTTAAAACCATAAATTACAGGTTTTAGTACTAAGCTGTGAGCTACATCTATCGTGATGCTACATAATATCTGACTTCAGTAGGTGGAGAGTTTCAAACGTATGATAAAATGACAAGATGAAAGTCGAGCGTTCAAGTAAGTGAGCTATAATATGTCCTTAATCAGTAAGCTTGAAACTAAATCTATTGTAAATATTCAACTTAATTATCTTAACTTCAAAATCTTTTCAGTAAATATGATTAAATCATGATGGGACAAATTCATTAAACAGCTTTTAAAAAAACTTACCGGATCATATTTCTTTAATAATTCACAAACACTGAAACGTAATTCTGTTAAGCGATCTGAGTATATTTTAGTTTCTTGTTGAAAGGTGGCCAAGAGCTGTAACAGGACACAATAGAATGATGAAGAACGGGAAAAAATATAGTAAATTTGATATAGTTCTTCCAAATATTGATCATATTGATGAAAATTACGAAGTTATCTTGCGATGAAATAGTACATTAATAACTGAATAAGAAATGAATTGTAATCATTAATGAAACTTACAGATCGGAGACCTTGTTCATACCGATCGAAGAAGTCTTCTAAGGGGAAGCTAGCAAGATCAGAATCTGTAAGAGTATGGATCTGATCTTTCTCCATTGGCCATTCAGGTGGTAAGAAATACCGTAAACAAACCCTATATAATAGAGGAATTTAGATATATTATGTAGTGGTCCAATTGTCAACAGAATTAGTAATAATAATGATAGATTAAAAATAAACTTGATTATCGGTAAAAGGCGGTATCAATAATAACGCTGACTTTTTACATGTGAACTCTCTATTGAAAAAAAGTAAGTCGGAGGTCAGAAAGGTCATGTGAAGTGATTAGCACGTATAACTTCATGGTGTCCGATTCGCTTCTAAAATTTATAACATTTTTAGCATATTAAACCTACAGATATCTGCATAAGGTTACCCAAGTACGAAATAATGTTCTTCTGTGAGGGCTAATCTATGATGGACCCTTATTAGGAAGATAAAATAGAGGAATGGTCAACCTTTTAAAACTCATTTTAAAAACAGAATAACAGCATTGGTGAACTCATGGATACAGATACATTAGTTATCAACCGGATGAAAAAATTTGCAACCGATATGTAGACAGACAAATCAACATAAGACATAGCGTTACTGTGCAATAAGTCGAAGTTGCCACACTTTATGTCAGTACATCAAGAGAGAACCCATTAACATGAAAGACAAAGAAATAAAAAAGGCAGTCAAAGTGGTGGAAAGTTATTAAAAGAGAGCAAGGAGGAATGAGAAAATACTGAAGTTTAGTATGAAGAATACGATAAGGATAATTAATATGTGGATACAACCTCGTCACTGGGCTGATGGTGACTAGGCATGCGCAACATATCCCACCCACTTCAGTGGATGAAGGTCCATGGCTTCATCAGCTGACTTTCCTCTTCTGTCTAAAAGTCTGCATGTGAATTCTACGTTACTTAGCAACACTACGAAGGTGATGGTGGTCAAATACCAGAAGCTTTTACTAGTCCTCTACGTTTAATGGATATTCTTCACAGTTATACAGTAGAAAAGAATGAACTGAAGTACAGTACACCCAACCCATCAAAGAAAATAATTGTGCTAGGCGCATAAAAACTCAGAGATTATGCATTTTGATTAATCTAACTAGTAAAGCTTTAAAATTGTTACGGTAGCCAAAATCAAGTGTGAACTTTATGACTGATAAATAATAATGGTGCAAATCGAAAGTCACGCATAAACTCCTAGTCTGAATCATGAGTGCACATATCTGTATGAATGTTATCATACTAACTTGCAGTGCTAACTTCGGTGGGTGTGGTGAGCTTCGAACACCCATAACCTATTGATTAAAAGTTTCAGTCAATGAGTTGTAACTTTATAGTTTGTTAACAGTACTTGGAAGTACATTCAATTAGGCCATAGCTTTGACTTTAATGTCAAGCAACCATTGATTAGTTGCACAGGACCCATGCAGTATGCTTTCTATTAGTTGACTGATCTAAGTGCTAGATTTTCAGAAATGTTCAGGTATTTCATGATAGCCATATTCCATGGTATCTGAACAAAGGAGAGACGACATTGTTGAGTCACCTAATCCACCAATCCACGCTGGTGAAAATGAAGACGTTGGCGACATATTTTGCTGTAATGCCTGCTACATTTTATTTGTCTAGCTGCTGGACACTTGTTGTATTGTAGTGTTTATTTATCAATGTAATTCTACGTGCAAAGAATTTCTCCGTCGAATCTTATTTTTCGACCGACTTTAAAGGTCACCCTAGCAACAACTGAAACCAAACAGACTTCTCTATTTTGTGAAGAACTACCTTTCTGGCCGGAATACCGAAACCTGATTAGTTGTTTCAGAAGTTGCCAGGGTGGCCTTTAAAGTTGCCCTATTTTTTGAAAACAAGTTTGTTGACGATCTGATATGATTAGTCGGTTGGAGGGACGTGAAAGTACCTTACCCATAGCAGATGAACTAACAAAATTACAAGCATAGAGGCAATTATAAGGAGACGTGTAAGAAATTATTTGGTAATAATTTCCTTACTTGAATTTCTCCTGGATCTTCCTATTTAATGCGATATTCTAAAAGAAATCATGAATTAATCAAAATTTTGATACAAGTTGAAAAGTTATGACTGATAGATAAAATAAATAAACAAATAGATTAATCGACAACAAGAAACGCAGAGTAAGAAAGTAAACAAATATTGAATTTGATGATACTAATAGAGTTGTGATGCCCAAGTTTTGTATAAAACATTGTTATTGATCTGAACATTTTAACGGGTCATTCCCACACCATTTTACGGTATGACTAATAGTCTATTTTCTGCCCCCATTATAATGTATATCACTAATTGGTTAATCCTCACCCTTACCATGCAAATACCTCAAATTGAGGACTAGGTCATTTTCCATGTGTATACTTGTTCACGTGTTTGGGATTGATTTATTATTATATTCTCGGAGTAATACACTCTCCCATCTGCCTGTTTCAGTCTTCTCTCTATTCTTCCCGGGGTTGCAGTCAGTGTCTCTTGCGTACCAAGTTAGCTGTCAGCTAAGTGTGCGTATTATATTCCTTCCGGAATATACAAATAATATATAACTATTAGCGCTTCGAAACCATAACAGTGACGACGGGGATTAGATCAAAAATGGACTTTTAGAAGCTGGACAAAATTCTCGAACTACAAATGAAAATTATCGAGTTATTAACTCAGTCCAGAATTCCTGCAGCTGACTCATCGAATCCTACGCAAGAACCAACTCTAACGTTGAATGATATTGCTGCGAAATGTCAACGATTGGCGAACCTAAAACGGGATACAAGTTCAGTCCAATCCAGACGCCAGGGTGATCATAAAGTGCATGCGGTTCACCAGAAATCAAATCCCGCTGCATCCTTTTCTGGCCCAAAGACCCCTGGTTCTTCGTCTCCTGTTCGTCATCCCGGCAGCCCATACAATACTAGAAGAAACATGAAGAAGACCCTTCCGTCTCTCTGCTTGCATTGTGGCACATGGCATTTCGTTAAATATTGTCCTTATAAGCACAATAAAGGCAGAGATTGTAATACTGTGGGTCATAAGGACGGATTTTGCAAGCAGCCACCATCACAAAGAACAGGTAGGTCATCATCCAGTCACCGTCGAAGATCGAAGTCTCGACCAGTCGGCAAATTTCTTAGCCTTACTGCTGCTTTTCAAGCACATGCATCAGCTCAGAGAAAATATCACCGTCCAAATAAATAACCATTCAGTACGCCTACAAATCGACACCGCTTCCGATATAACGCTTATTTTCAAGAAGCTATGGTGGAAGACTGGTCGACCTCCTCCCCAGAAGATGTACGGATCGAAAGCGGTCCCCACAGTTTGTTTCCATCTGGACTCCAAAAAGCGAAGGTATTGAAGTTTTCTGATTTTTGTTTTCAAAAAGGGGAGGTGTTGTGATGCCCCAGTTTTGTATAAACATTGTTATTGATCTGAACATTTTAACGGGTCATTCCCACACCATTTTACGGTATGACTAATAGTCTATTTTCTGTCTCCATTGCAATGTAATGTCTCAAATTGCGGGCAAGGTCATTTTTCATATATATATATATATATATATATATATATATATATATATATATATATATAAACCATAACAAATAGTCATCACAAACACATACACAGAGAACACGATGGGATTTTACAAACTTAAACCACACATAGAGGTCAGATATTGAACTTGAACAGCAATCATGCTAAGGGCCATAAGAAATGTTGTATACATTATTTTCAGGGGCCAAAACACAGTGGAGCATTGAAACACTAAGGAAAGTCGGAGAAAAATGTCTGTACAAAGTATTCAAAGTTAGTGATTATGCAACCAACTTTGTCAAAAAGTGTTTATCAGCAAGACAGAAGGGCGACTGACTCAAATCAATAAGCACGTTACACTACCCTATAATACCAAAGATATCTCAGAAAGTCAACCGATTGCTTTTTCCTTTCGGAATCAGAGTAGTACATGAACCAACGGAATCACTACACAGTATGTGCCAAAAGAAGGCAGGACGAATATAATCTACAAAATCAACTGCACAACACTGTTGATCAGTCTAGCCGTAAGATTGTTCAAAGAATTCATGAACACGAACTAGCAGTAAGGAGACTGACGCAGTCTCCTTAGTTTCGAAGGATGCAAACAGTCATGATCACAAATTAGACCGAGAGAATGGAGAAATCCTCCAAAGAGCATGTTCCAAAACTAGAAGGGAATTCCTAGAAGCATGGCACGTAAACGAAATGTTGATTAACAGACATGTGGAAATAGACCCAATCTACAATTTACTTAGGAGGAAAACAGTCATCCATCAGCCAAGGACAAATCAATAATGATGCACAGTGTGACAACAACCACCAGCACAATTTCACTCCGAAAGAGAATATCTAATGACATGACTGAAGGAAATTTAAGGTCAGGTCAAAGAGGTCAGGGTGTAATAAAAAATTTCATCCCCAACTTACGATTGGTCAATAAAAACACTATTTAAACATTCGTGTAATATTCGATTATGCTTCACTTGTTTATGAAGTTAGTGCTGAAAATGTCACTAAGCCTAGTGATTAAACGTTACACGACAAAATATCAAAGCTCAGAGAACATTAAACCAGCAAATCAACGTAGGACCTTGTACAGAAACGCACTGGCTCAAGTTGTCACACTTAACAGTAACATGCAAAGAACAAGCGGGTAAACAGAAGTCCATAGGATTCGAAAAATGAAGGTTGATGAAAATATTCAAGCTTTAAAAGATATCAGGGTGCAAACATTTGCGCTATTGAGACTAACAGTCAGCCAAGTTACCGAGAGTCTCTTACCACTCATTCCTTTCCAGAGCCCCAGTAAAATAATTTGTACCTTCCTACACGATTTATACCCGTCACAGATATTCTGGACCAGCATCACGTTTTGGTCTTCTTCCAATCCAATCCTACTTTGCTTAACATTGCATGTCGAGGTAGGCAGTGGCTCATTATTATTATTATTAGTCCCTTGGGTTCCTAATGGAACATAGGGCTTCACTAGCACGTCTCCAGTGACCTCTGTTCTCTGAAATCTTTTGAACCTGGTTCCACGACAGCCCAGAAGCTCTCATTTCCTCCTCGCACGACCTCCTCCATGTCACCCTCGGACGTCCAACTCGTCGCTTCCCATGGGGATTCCCCACTCGAGGGCCTGACGCGTGATGTCCGTGGCTCATCATGGGTAGCACATATCCAGGATACTTCAGTCGGTGAAGGTTCACAACTTAATTATCCTACGCCTAACCTCGATATTCTTCATACAATAATTTCACCATACACGAGCGATGCTACGAAGTTACCTGTAACATCTTTACACCTTCTACTTTCAATGGTCATGTCTCATAACCGTAACATAGAACAGAGCGCAGCGCAGTATACTCCTTCTTTGATAAGTAGTCACGTATATCACCAGGACTAGAGATGAAGCAAGTTGGCAGATATCAAGCGAGTGATTTATATCAGAGTTGAGATTTCGTCAGTAACAAAGTAGGTGAATTAGTCAACGCATTCGACCAATTCACTCACTATCCTTAAACTGGAATTGGTTTCAGATTAGTTATCTTACATTTGAATAGATGCAAAACGCATGCCAAAAAAGAAAAACGCTCACAAAACTTTTCTCTAAAGTATCAACTTACAGTCTTCATGTGTCTTACGACCTAAAGGATAAAGTCAAGAGCGCTGAAAACACCCTGTACTCATCACCAGGTAATGACAGTTACTTCAGTTAGAAACCATTTAGTTGATAGTGTCATATATGACGCACATATATTGTGTACATTTACTAGCACCTAAAAATCAAGCCCCTCATGGAGGTATATTGGTAGAGAAGGTAAAATATAGAACATATTAAGTCTCATAACTGGTCATGTATAAACAGCAAAATCAGAAGGAACAAAAGAAATTACTTCATCTGCGAGAAAACTACCATGGTAAGGTAACACATTTTTTAGATGTCCAACTGTTCCTTACACTTCGTTCATATATGACTAATTTGATGGGCAAAATATTTGAAGTACAAAAAAAATAGTAATTCTTACAGCTTCGGAAGATAAAGAAGTAACTGTTGAATTCACTTCTCTACTTTTTTCTCCCACTGAATTCTCATTGGCATTCTGATCTCTACAGAAGAAAAGACAAAAAAAATAGTTGGAGAAAGAAATAATAATAATAATTATTATTTTCCCCTTTGGGTTCCTAGGGGATGAGACTTGATAATGGAAACTTCCAGAAAGCTTTGAAGGATTCTGTATTGAGGAAATCTTCAGGAACATCGATAATGGTGTAATTCCATAAGCACATATCTTTGTATTAATTACTGAGCGAAATGTACTTTTTCATTGATTAACAGTTTGACTTAACGCTATTGGAAGAGATGACTTTCTCAAATGCTGGGCGACAATGCAACACAAAAATGTGTACAAGATTGTTGATAAAACTAAGAGTGAAAACAAATGCTAGATAACGTTAATACTCGATTGTTTAGATCAGTCTGAATGTCAGGTTTTATATACTTGCAAATACCGGTCGAGTAATTTACAATCCCTATGTATAACATATAAATAATGTAGTTTACACAATCAATTTATAGAACAGTCACCCCAAGACCTACCAGCATTGTGAAGCAGTGGCTGACTGGTTTGTGGAGATGACTCAGCCAATGGGTCACAGGTTTGAGCACCGCTTCACCTAATACGGTTCAGGCAACCAGGCGGTATCACTAGCAAAAAGTGGTTGGGTGGATTTCTTTTCATTTTCGCTACTAATATCACAATGCGGTAAACAACGCTGAAATCACTCTAATATCAACAAAAAAGTCAATGCGACCATTGATAAAAAAAATAGAGAGAGATCAGCCCTAGTAGCCAAACAAACAAAGAAGACAGATAGGCACAAATTATGAAGGGAAATGAAGGTGGTCTAACACTGAACCATAATTTCAAGAAGAGAAGAGAATTCTGCTGCACGGTAAGGTTGAACACATAAGTTTTGCGGTATGCAGATAGATTTCGGTTTACCTTCACTCATATCCAAAACAGAAGTTAGCTGTGCAGTAATCGTATTCAGTAGGAAGATTTCAGTAAACCTTCTCATAGTCCATTACTCAATCGAAATATCTACAGGTTTAGTAGATTTACCATTAGAGCGGAACCAAATATTGGAAACAAACGGCCTACTGTAGATAATAATCCAAAATCAACTAGAAAATATTGCATTAAATTTTCAATTTGTTTTAATGAATACTTGGATTAGCATTCGGTCGTTTATAGGTGACGTGATACTTTTCCCTGTAAAAGTAACTTCTGTAAGCGTAGTTAACCAATTCCTCATATAAGCTTGGACACTGTGGTAGAGTATAATTCCATATTAGATTATTTATTTGATTGATATAGCATGCAGTAATACAGTGTGATTTACTGGATGATGTTTCGAGCAGAATTTGTTCCTCGTGTTCATATCACGGTAATCACACAACTTCCATACTTCCTTTATTGAGTTCTACAGTTATTCATTTGTTTATTTTAATGGTAGTAAAACTTTTCAGATATCTGCAGTATATGACGGGTCATCCTCGTTACATGTGTTAGGTGTTGATTCAATGAACAAAGATTCTGGGATCAATCTCTTCCTTCACCTAGTTATTCTAAATTGTAGAATTGTTACCCTATCCCATTTAATGATGTAATTATGGGTCAGTGCATGCATAGCGATAGACTAGTTTTTCTAAAAATTAGTAGGGTGTAGTGGCGAAGTTCAACTCTCTTGTTCTTATTTGATATCAACTGACCGTGAAGACGGTTACAATGAAGGAGAATAACTGGCGTTGAAATGGAGGGCTTAGTCGATAGTCAAACCTGGAACCACTCGTATCTGAATCGAGTATCATACCCGTAGACCACTGAGCCTAGATCCTACTAAGGTAAATTAGAGAAAAGCTTGGTTATCATTCTACATATACTGACCCATAATCACACTTTAAGGTGGGATATGATGATATTTCTAAAATCCAATATAGCTAGATGGAAGGAAAGATTGATCATAGAGTCTGTGCTCACTGAATCAACACCTAACACAGGTAACAAAAATGACTCATCACATATTGCAGGTATATGTAGAACTTTACTACCATTAAAATAAACGAGTGAATAACTGTTGGATGACATGAAAGAAGTTTGAAAGTCGAATGATTACTTTGATATGAACGCGAAGAACAAATTACGCTCGAAGTATCATCCAATAAATAATACTGCATCACTGTGTGCCATATCAAATAAACAATCTAACATGGAATTCCGCATATCTTCTGTGGGTTTTAAGTACATTACCAACTAATGTGTTGAAGAGTTGATCAAAGTTGATGAAAGTGTTTTCATATTCCCTTGAATGCTCTGATGTCTTTTAATTTCTAATTATGAGTAACACTTTTATCTCCTGGGAGGTGAATGTTATATATCTATGAAACAAATGATCTACTGAGACATAATTATCATCTCCAATATGCTGCATGAATTATTCTCATTTATCATAATAGATCCGAATATAAAATCTATACATCAAATGATGAGACTTGGAACCTGTGAAGTACTCTACCAAATCCAACGTTCGACAAACAAGCACAGTGAAGCTAATGTGCATAATGACGTAATATTTGCAGAGACGCCTTACAAACAGTATCAATCTGGATGACGATAGAATAGGTTATCTGAAAAGTTTAGTGATTGCCTAATAAGGGACGAGTGTATGACACAATAGTCCACTCTATTCTATCATATAACCAGTAACTTTGGAGCATATAAGAAGGCTAGGGATATTTAGTCACTATTGTCTTTGTAGCAAGGACTGAGTGTTGTAGAATTACCACACAAAGAACATAGAAAACAAGCTTAAAATCCTAGTTTAGATCACAAACCTTCCTTCACTCAGATGGTATGTCTTTGAGTGTTGGTGTGAATCGTGTAAGGAAATGTAAACTTGCCTATTTGGGGTCTGAGAGATAGCTCAAATGGATGGTTGGAGACTTTAGGTGATAGAGCTGAGAATTAGTCATGTAGGCATGAAGGGATGTACACTTCATCTTAACCATTATGTAACATTTTATACTAATTTCAACCGTTTTTACTTATCTTATGGCTTCCTATGACTTTAGATTGCGTCATACACACATATTATACATACATCAAAAGGTTTCAATTCACATTCTGTAAACAAATATGAACGTACTATTAATCAACAAAGATGACATCATTCTCTAAGCAAAGTATAAGAGAAATTTCTTCAGTTATACACTTTTAAAATAGTCGTAAGCATCTCAACTATGTTAGAAATGGATAAATGAAGGATATTTGAAGAAAAACCATCAACAAAGACTATTTTTTAAATTACTCACTTGTTTTTAACGGATGACACATCACCGTTGTCTCGACCCGTTGAATTTCTATTCCGATGATGCATTGTTACAGTATCCTGAACAGGACTTTTTTCTCGACTACTGACTCTTTTACCATTAACTTCATCGGTTGGCTTAGAGATAGCTTTTTCTTGAGTTTTTGAAATACCTGTTTTTGCCTAGTAATTAGCATAAATAAAGGCATATACTCGTGTATGTAAGGAATATGTATTTCTTTACAATACAATTTTCAAATAATAATACTTACAGATATTTACAAGGCGATAGAAAAAGCAACTTATGGGTGAAAAGCAGCTCGAATTAAGTGTCATACATTTAGTTCGCTTGATAAATTTGAACAACGCAAGAACAAAGACATTCGCAGAATAAAATCCGCTCATTGCCGCCCTTCATCAGCTGCAAACAGCCTATATTTGAAATGAAGTATTAGTAGTAATAATGACAACATACTTTAAATATGTAGAAATAAATGAAGATTTGAAATCCAGGATTAACAATAAGATAGTGTGTGGGTCACGGAAACACAGGATTATAAATTACAAGTCTTAGTCAAAACCAATGCTAATTTATATTTGGAGCTGTGGAGTGCGGGGGGGGGGCAAACGAAAACCAGTGTAAAAGAAGAACCAATAGGTTACGTAATTGCACGAAAGACTGGAAAGTCGTTAGGTGATTAACAGTTGGTAAGTAATCAATGAAGAGATGATGCAAGCAAAAAACAGATACCTGCCGCCTGTCTGGTGATTGCGCTTTTAAAGATCTTGCTACCATTTAAACACATTTCTCGGGATATGCTCATAAATGTGAGTAGACGCCCTTCGTTCGGTCCCTCTTATGTACTTGCTTTCACAAGCGCAGGTGAATTGATAAACACGGAGGTGACGTGGGATGAGTATTGGTCTGCTTTCGACTGCGTTACTGAGCATAACTGTACTGTAATCTGAGATTAGTTTGGTAGCAGGGAAGCTCCTCAGTGCAGCTTTTATTCTTTTGCCTATTCTTTCAGATGTCTCATCTCCTTTAAATGCTAGACGAAGGAAAACAGGCTTCTTCTCAATAGTTGGATGTTTTGATCTGTCAATAAATTCTTTTCCATGCTTCATGATGAGCTTAATTTATTCTGTATATGTTTTGTTCATACATTGTTTAAATCGAGTGGATGAACAGAACAGAAGAACGTGCAGCACAGTGATAACTGTATTGTGATATTTAACTGAGATATAACTCTATTTTGTAAAATAGCGTCCCACAATACTTTTTCCCATGTAGCCGATTATTAGTTTTTGGTTCAATTCAAGGTTTTCCTAACATTTGGCAATTACGACTCGTCAGCTACAATTAATCAGTAATCATATCAGTCTTTATTCTACTCAAAAATCTTAAGTTTGAACTGTTGAATTGAACATTAGTGTGAAACAGTCCATTTAACAGTCTTGACAGTTGTTCATGAGATATTGATTCTTGAAGGGAATCACTTTTTAAAATACCGGAAATCATCAACAGGTTTAAATTCAGATAACAGTTTCATAAAATTATTTTTTTCGTTCAACAGGAAGCAGTAATGTAAGCTATTCACTTGGAAAGATGACCGAAAATCCTATATAATGACTCACACTAGTCAACCGTGTTGAGCGTAGGATTTTCCATACCTACTTGGCAATCATAGGAATCCAACGTCTATACATTGTTACTCACAAGATAGGATACCGATACTGTTAGTTGATTGGTGTAAAAACTAGCTTGTTCATTTTGGTGAGTAGTCCGGTTAAATATAAATGGGAATCCAATATACAGAAGAAGCACAAAACGGAAAGCTAAATATTTCCCATCATTGTTATTACGTGTGTTTCTGGAGAATATGAAGAATACAGTAATTGGTTACTGGATAGGGGAACAATTTCATGCCATCTAGTGTTCATTAAAATTCAACGATTCAAGAGATAGAAAGTAACTGAAAAATTCCATACATGTTCAGATGCTAGATAGTTAGTTACACGAACTGAATGAAGATTAGCTGTACAAACATGGGTAGTTGGGAAGGAGATTTGAATTAATGATCCACTGAAGTGTGATCACCACATAACACATTGCTGTATACTTTATTTTATGCAAACGTGTTGCAGGTAATCCCAAGAAAGCTGACAAATGTTAAGTGGTGACTAGCAATGCAACACAAAAGTACTTCGAGAGTACATCGATTATGACACTTTGGTAACATATAGTTTTGTACAGAGAAAACCGAAGTATCCTTCACTTGTCTCTACAAATTTGTGTACGCCAGTGATCTTCCAAAAAAAATATGGAAAGTATTTCTAAAATCACACTGCACTAAGTAGGCAACGGGAGAATAATGTAGGCAGAAAGTATTTATGCGAAGTGAAAAAAGGAGAATTGGTTTACAATACTTCATCTGAAGTTAACCATACAAAAAACAGATGAAAGTCATTATTAAGTAGGTTGTCAATTATAATGAATGACAGAGAGAAAGTATAGAAAACTTATCACTGAGAGAGGTAAGAATATAATGGCACCACAAGCCATGAACAGGATATATTATTCGCAAGAAAAGGCTAATGAAATGATAGTGCTGGGAAATGAACTTACAGAGGTGGCGGAGTTAACTTTTGAGGGAGCTGCACCTTGTTTGTTGCGTTGTTTATTGTCGTCTTTTGCAACTTTTTCTACCTCTTCTTCTTCTTCCTCTTCCTCTTCTTCATCACTTGTCGCTTCCTCACTGCTTTCACTATCTGCTGTTGTGACTCTACGTCCCTACAAACGAAATACTTTTTTCAATTGCTTTCAAATGATAAAAAAAATGAAATATCTAGCTGGCATGCAACAGAAGCAAGTCAATGAAACCTATCGGTAATCTTCTGAAAATTACTATATAGAACTAAGCAGTTAACAAAAATTGTTCACTTGTAATCCTTGAGCACTACATGCCTTCTGAGGTAAATGAGTGCAACAAATCCATAAGAGCTGTTTATATGAGACTTAAGAAACAAACTTCTCGACTAGGATTAATATAAAATATTGTCTTACTTTAGGAGTTGTTGAATTCCGTTGTTGAGCCTTGGGGACTAGACCTCCGGGACGTGGTTGTCGTTGGTTACTTGTTGGTAGTGGTAAACCAGTACGTTTTTCAGATGACAAAGGTGTAGGACCATTTGATGATGCTAATCCAGCTTGACGTTTTTTATCGGCGACTGTCATCGCAAGAGGAGCGGAGGGAGTATGTGCAGACCGTTTGTTAGGAGGGCTAGGAGTAGGTGCGGGAGGTGGTGGGGGACGTTTACGTGGAGATTTAGAAAGAGTATTGACAGGTCCACTTAACCGACCACTACGAGTCGTAGCATTAGGATTGTCAACCTTTTCATCATCAGGATCTTGGATGAGTTCAAGTTCTTCCTAGACAATTAAATGCACATGTTAACAGGGGGAAGATATATTAGGCAAGGTTAAATCGTAATTTTGATGATTGCTGAGAAGACAGAAAAACAATATTACCGAAAATTCCGTGCAAGGAAGCATAACTTGTCTTAAAAGCAAAGTATACATTTTAATTGGTTGAGATTTCAATAAGTCAAAGTGTGAAAGCACCTACATATTAGACAAACAACTTAGCTCTTTTGTTAAAGCATTCTAACTCTAATACCAGTTACATAGCAAATGCTCATGAATAGGTACAGATTGATGTGCTGATTAGTGTTTACCTGTTTTTTACGGATTTGTTTTTCAAGTTCTGCTTGTCTTTGTTCTTTGGTTTTGATTTTCCGTTTCAGGACCCCCATTGGTGGACTCATATCTTCTTCAGGATCCTCACACCTGGAAAAAATAGAAATGAATGATCAAAAATACTGAAACAGGAAATCAAAGCTTAAAGTTTTCAATGAACAACAGAAGATTTTTATGTTGTATTCAATGCAAATATTATACATCTGATTCATTTAGTTTTGAAAAACCTACTGATAGACATCAGTTTCATTCACTTAACTATTGATGCTTCAATCTGAACAAAAACGATTGTAACTGATCTCCAGAGGGATAGTAATAAAACCCCATTAATTTATGCATTATACCTTGTTGTATTGCTTTGTTTCCCATATAAATTAGATGAATCAGGTCTATGCAACACAAAATAATGGGATTTCAACAAGAAAGATGGGAAAGAATCATGCTTACATGGGTCATAAGATCTTTGATTCTACAAAGTTAATTCGCATCGATTAAGTGTTCAACTAGATATCACCAATAATATAGCAATACATGAAATAGATTGTATAGGAGCAAAGTTCACAAGACAAATCTATGCAACAATTCGTCATACGAAGGAAGAAAGAAAAGTGTCTGATAAGTATTTTCCAGATAAGCAATACACATTGAATGCTAAAGAAAAGGGATCTGTTATATTCTGGAGACATTGTAAGTGGCAGCCTTGAAAATATCCCACCTCATCTTGAGAACATTTGAGAAATAACTAGATTGCTGGAACTTCAAGAAGTCTATGCATTCAATTTAATGCAAAAATTGAAGAAATTAACAACCAAGTTATGTCTAGCATTTTTTACAAAACGAAAGGAAACAATTCGAGGAAGGGAAATGTCGGTTGGGGATGAAACACCTTTCTTTACTTTTCTGTTAAAACAACAATGAACAGTTAAACTTCACTTATTTCATGTTAGTGCACTGAAAATATATGAAGATGCAAGGCAGAAAGGAAAACGAAGTGTATTCAAAATTTCACCGTGTCGCTTAAGTCGATTAGAAGACGTTCTAAAACATAGAATTTATCAGTCAATGCAGGGAGTATCAAAACAATTATAAGGCTACACCATCAATATTTAATCGGATAGTGTAATACACTACATGAAACAATCAACTAGATTACAGATACAGTTAGCTTGTTGAACCAACTGTGAAGATGTTAACAGCCAACTTCTTATTGGACTTACTTATAGATAATAAAGGTTTGACTGTCAAACTTTACAGCCCAAAGAATGTAACACCAAGGAAGTAATTCGCTCTAGCTACGAAACTGAAAAGTCTCAACATTAATGAACATCTTCCACATTTAGCTTATATTGAAGTAAACACAGGTATACAGTCATCATGAGATTTCATACTCATTAAGATATCATCCAAGTATTCACGATGCACTAACATTTATAGGAAATATATGCGGTTCGATGTTGATCAGAAAGCTATAGGTCTAAGTCTCATGTTACCTACTGATGCTCATCATTGAAACGCATGTACAAACTTCTGAAAGTGCATACTCTCTCAAAGTTTGAAAGACATTTCATTCAGTAATGCTGAATTATTTACGTTTTAACTGACCTCAACTTCAGGATACATCTAATGAAGGGCTGAAGATTAAAGAGTCTATAGAAGTTTATCAATCCTGTGAACTTGTAAAAAAACTGTGTTCATATGAGTTTCCTCATTTTTGTACACTTAATCAATGACTGTCAAAAAACTACAAGTCTAGATTGGAGAATAATTATGATAGAATACGATCTACCTTTCATGGAAGAACATCAAAGGTATTAGGCAATAACGTTTCTATATAAAAATGTCCAGTAATTCTGACTGCTGGATTACGTGGTAAAGAAAGGTATAAATAAATATTACTAGTCAGTGGAGTGAAATGACATAAAATTACCAGACAAAAAAATTAATGAGTTATATAAGACTTTAAATACAGATAACCTTTTATGCTTATGATCTGGATTATCCCGACATTGCCAATTATCTGGAACATCTCGTCCTACAAGGCTTTGTGAAAATGGAAGTATTCTCCACTTTAAGCATTTATCTGAAGAAAAAAAATTGAAAGAAAACTCCTGAGAGCACTGTACATCTCGAATAGATCTCAAAAAAGTCACAGGCGAATAGAAAATATAACCATTAAGTGAAAACTCTGTGTAAAGAGATATTCGATTAAACGATCAGTTAAGATTTTTTTAATGCATGATGATTCAGTTCATTTTATTGAAAAAGAAGCACGTAGGTATGAGCATAGGCATACCTGTGCATAACAGGTTGACGAGTTCGAGATGTTAGCCAAGTATATTATATTACGACTACTTACCCAAACCTTGCATAGGGAATGTTGGTCAACAAAATGAACGCCGCCACAATTCATTAAATATCAGGAGTTATTATTTCAGGATCAAAGAGTGAAAATTATAAGGACTACTTACTAATGTTATCACCACTCAACACGAAGCACTTTGCTCGATCAAATGTAGGGAGATAGATTTAAATTTCAATCGATGTGACTCACTAGAGACGTACATTCTTAGGTGGTGTTATATCCTCTGAGTTAAATGGTCTCATTGTAAAGCTTTCAATACTATTCTAGACAAAATCACGTGGCAACTTGAGCCCATGCACTTTTGTGCGAGGTTCTACTTTGATTTTGTCAGTGTCATGTGGTCAAAAGGCATGTGTTTTGGCGCTGGGGCTGTAAACTCCGTATGATGTGTGCAAGTTGACAGAGCTATCCGATTTCCTTTAACAAAACAGGTGAAGTTGGAAAATCTCATCTGCGAGTATTTTTAGTAGGAAATTGAATTTCCATGAAAATCATTCACAGCAATGGTATATTCGTCGACAACTCATTAGTGATGGAAATAATACCAAATATTTCAGTGATAAAAATGACTAGCATTTGTGGTTTGATAATGAAAACGCACCTTAAAAACATCTTCAAACGCTTTGCTATGATCAGCGGTAGCTACAATCCGCCCTTTTTACTGGTAATGCTAACACAAAAGCACATTTCATGTCTGTAAGGCATGGTCTACTTAGCAATTGCACGTAGACAACATACTTTCCACAAAAGTGAAAGTAATTGCTGTATTGGTGGACAGAAATGGAGTGAGATGAGCAAAGAAGACACAGAAACCTGAAGTGGTAAAGGATTTTACGTAATTGTATATCTGTTTAAGCTTTCACACTTCAAGTCGACACCTCAAGGAGAAAGAAAAAGTGGTGGAAATACAATTTGGCAAAACAATAAGTGGTAGAGAGCCGTAAGACAGAGAAAATGTGACAAAAAAACGACACCCGATTTAACGACTTACATGAAGGTAGACAAAGACGTGCGATTGCATTACATCCTGAGCCATATCGCCTGAAGACTTACGTTTAGTTATGCGACTCAGATCAACAGTCAGAAACTTTCCTAGCTGAAGTCATTTCTCTTTTTCTTTGCCAAGCGTTGACTTTTGTACTAAAATAATCCAACTTAATTCAGCTAATCAAGTTTGACAGTGACTTAGTATGCATAGTCCGTATCGTAGGGACTTCAGTTTGTCTTTCATGAGGACCGGAATAATCACTGACTAAACGTTCAGGTGGGGGGGAGGGGCAAACCAAACTGAAAAATGACTACAACTGGAATACAAATTTCGAAGTTGTTCATTGTCTCGTGGATTAGGTTTGAAGACTAACAACCAGTATCATGAAAACGAGGAAAGTTAGGGAAAAATGATGTTGACAACGTTTTCGTGGATGATTAGACCCTTCATCAGGAAATAAAACTTTGAACGTGTTTAGACGAATGAAGGACTGAGAGGATTAGGAAGACTTGGACACCAAGTTGATACAATTCACTGTGTACTGGGATTCAACTTCAGTATTCATGCATAAGTTTTGTAAATCAACCGTTTGAGATATATGGTACCATCTGGTTATTGAACATAAAGTCAAAGATGATACTGCACCAATAACTCAGTGTTTGAGAGTTGAATGCCCAAACCACTAGACATTAGTTCCAGATGGTAAATACTCCTTGGCTATTCCCATCAATAAAAGAGGGATGTAGGTTCACCTGGAATGACAAGGCAATTTGGGAGTCATTGTTAAACACCACCCAGCTTGTGGTAGGCCTCTACTGGTGTTAGGAGACTATGGATCATTTGTACTAAATGGTAGTGTAATAAAGCAACCCAACCAGGAGCGTGTTCATTTACTGGGTGGAAAATAGTTTGAATCCAAGACGCACTGGTCGAAAGTCAAATGCCTGAAGCACAACTCTAGAATGTGGGCAGCAGAAAAATACTTATTATTGGTTTCTAGAGCATACGATTTGGCTGTTAGTGTTTTAAAGAAATATAAGCGACTACAATGTGCAGGGTAGGTAATTAACAATGAGACATTTTTAACACTTGAAGGGAGATTGCTTATACGCGTTTTGGTATAAATACTCTGTTTACTTAAGAAAAATATCAACAAAGTCTGTAATCTGTACTTACAAAATCCCTACATTGGGAGTTGATATTTGACAGAAGCAGTCATACTTCTAAAGAATATTTGGATTAAAAGTTAAGTTCATTAGGTTATAACTTTAAAAAACTCATAGTGGAGTTTTATGAGGGGTGTGAATGTATGTAGAAAGTAAAATGAACAAAAGAAACATTTAATTACCACATTGAACACAAATGGAGACGGAACAACACCGACGACGGGCATATTTCTCCTCTATACTAGGTGGATCTCTCCAACGTGCTGATAAATATCCAAAACTTTTCCAAAAACGTATCAAACTATCTGCTTCTTTATCGATACCAAGGTCATCCCAATATTGCATTAAATGATCTGCCATTGCACGCATAAGTTGACGATATTCTTTAGCATCAGCAAAATCTTGCTTGTTATGTGTTGGCTCTATAGCGACAAAAAAATCCAGTTTGGATAATTGTAGAATTTCCTTATAACAGAATATGTATTCAGAATAAATGTCAGCCTTATCACAGTTTAGAGATTATAAACTGAAAGTATTTATTTTTCCTAGAGAATTTTTATACCCAGTTCAGTAATGTTCAATAAGAAAACATTAATTTATAGGTATTCCACGATTTGCGATTCCATATTAGATTTGTTTATTTGATATATAGCGCACAGTGATACAGTATTATTTACTTGATTACGTTTCGAGCATAATTTATTGCTCATAATATCATATCAATGTAATCACACTTCTTTCGATATCTGATTTATGGTCCTGTCACCTGATTTTTCTTTGTTTTTTTGTTTTTTGATTGGTAGTAAAGTTCTCCATACCTCTGGTATAGGTGTTGCGTCATTCCTATTACATGTGTTGGGTGTGGATTCGATGAACAAAGATTCAGTAACTAATCTCCCTCTCCGCCCAGCTATATTAGACTTAAGTACGGTGGTTTCGTCCCACCCTATTGTGTGCTTGTATATTAATGAATGTAATGCAATGGCCGAGTGTTTTTCTTGATTATTGATCTTATTGGGGTCTGTCGTTCTATGTTTAGCTAAATTCCTATGTTCTGCTAATCTAACTGACCCCGACCGGCTAGTTTGACCTATGTATTTGACCTCACAGTCATTACATGGAATGCGGTAAATTATATTATTTTGCCTAATTGGTTCTATCGGATCTTTTAGCCGACAAAGCTTACCTCTAAGTGAGTTCGTTGGTTTAAATGCCACCCTAATTCCAACCTTGTTGAGAATCCTACGTATGGTTTCTGATGTTCCTTCCTTGTATGGTATCACAATAGAGGTGTTGATTTCTTTTCTACTTATGTTGTCGCTATTATTTGTATTTGTATTACTGTTATTATTTTGCTTGTGTGAATTTCTTAATAAAATGATGGGGATAATTATTAATTGTTAACGCTTCTTTTATGTGTTTCAATTCCTCATTTAAGTCCTTACAATGACTAGTGAGTTTCTTAGCTCTGTTATTTAGACATTTGACTAAACCCGCTTTAACCGACACTGGATGAGATGACTTGAAGTCTAGATACCTGTTAGAATGTGTTGGTTTTCTGTAGACAGTAGTATCTAAACCACCATCTGTCCTTCGTTTTATTCTGCAATCCAACATAGGTAATTCTCCTTGTTTATTTTCTACTTCGTAAGTGAATTGGATTGCGTTAACTACTGAGTTTATGTGTGTCAAGAAACTGTCGATATGTTCTGAGTTCAACACTGTAAATGAGTCATACACATATCGCCACCATATCTTAGGTGTCGGATTATATGTTCGTAAAGCCATATCTTCCCAACTATCCATAAATATATCTGCTACTATAGGGGATATTGGTGATCCCATTGCTACTCCTTCTGTTTGTCTATACATCTTTCCCTGAAACTTGAAGACTGTCGAGGTCAAGCATAACTGCACTGCTAACATGATCTCATCAACCGATGGCAATTTGCATGACGGCAGTAACTCAGGAAAGTAATCAAGTTTTTTGGCTAACTGAGGTATGACGTAACGAGTGATTCATAGAGCGAAATGGGATATGGATTTCATATAGTGCACCAGATCGTTTATGGTGAAAGTGTCGAAACAGATAGTTACAAAACAACACTGAAAAAAGTGCATTAGTGAAGACTATCCAACGGCATTCATCACTAGATTAATCGTGAGCACCATAAACACTGACAATGCGAATTTCTGATGCGAAATGTAAAAACACAAGATGAAAAAACTACAACAAGCTTATTCCTTAAGGTCAATTGGATTTCAAAAACAGAAATGTTTGTTGTGAGTACAACACCATTTACAGTTTAGATTCCAAACTGTGTTTTTAGGCAAGATGAATGTATCATTAACAAATTTACATTGTACTATTTAGTAGTACTTACCAAGAACCATATAGGGCACATCAACAATTCCGACCACACCACGACACATCATACTAGAGTCTTGTTGCGGTCCAATTCGTTGATACATTTTGATTAAACGGGAACAGTTATAAACAAACATACCATCACATGCACGGTTCATAACATTTACACCAAAATAAAATGTCAGTGTTTTAGGATCCTTGATAGATTTGGATTTCCGTGTAACAATATTCTGCCGAATAGCTACTGTCCCGCGTAATTCAGCAGCAGCATTTCGAAGACGACGTATTTGGCGCTGGAAGGGAAGAATATTATTCATTTAATAACTACTACTTTATGTTGTAGTTAAGTTTGTCAAGCTTTTAAGTGATTCAGGTTGTAGATACGCAGCATAACTATAATGGTTATTTCTTCATTGATACAGAACATGGCTTCCAGTGTGTTATCGAAGAACTAGAGCAATAAAAATACTCTACTTCCATATGGATTTCAGGTTGTGATAGAAAACAGAGTGCCGTAATATAGACTAGGCTATGTTTGGTTGAAGTGTGTACCAAATACCAAGAAATGCGATGGAGTCGATAACCGACATTCACATGCATAAGAAGTACCATAGTAAATCCTCTGTAGTGACTTTTGAATAATGGTAGCCTAATGTGGAGCCAATAGTTTTATTATTGCTGTACTGCCGCTCAGATGTAGTAAAAGAAAAGTCAATAGTGAACGTATTGCGAAAATAGGAGTAAGTGGGATACGCTACGCGCTCTAACTTTAGGTTGACGACTTTGATAATATTAAAACTGTTCCGAGAGAAGGTGTAAGCAGTTTCGGATCAATATGATCTTGATGAAGCTATTAGCACTAAGTAGTGAGACGTCAGTTACAATGACCTTCGTTATGTTCCACATCCATTCGGAAGTACTAAGACAAAAATAAGGAAGATTATTTACCCAATGCTTAAAGTTAATCAAGACATTAAATCCGAGTTTGGTTGGGATATGTATACGTACGTCTAAGTTGAACTTAGCTTCTGAAACGAAAATAAAACAACTTACCAAATGTTCAGGGTCTTCAGACCCTTGATAACGAAGTTCACAATCCCGAGCCTTGCTTTCCGCTTCTTGAGCCCGAAGTTCAGCTTAAACAAAGGAAGTACAATAGAGAAAATGGATAGCGACAGTCATGACAAAGAGTGTACGAACAGTTGTCAAACTACATCTAACATACCAAAAATACAACTTGTCTGGATTGGTAAGATAACTTATGCAGTTGATGAAAATTTATTCCTATTTTCTACGTTAATCCTTGCACAATAAGTAAAGTCAACGAAAGTAATTCAGTGGGTCGTCAGAGGCAGTCAATCGAATCTATTATCAGACAGATGAAATCAACTAAGCGACTCGCACAAAAATGCATCGGCTAAAGTTGACGCACTTTACAATAGTATACAAAGAACAAATGGATAAAATGAATGATATAGAAGTAGATAAGGGGGAATGGGAGGAGAGGGTTAGTCAAAACATGCAGGTTTTAGAAGAAATCAAAAATGAATACATCTGCGACACTATGACCGTTTTCCAGTCATGTAGCTAAGTCACTAACCACTGACTCCGGTAGTCTCAGGGACCCCAGACAGGTAGTTTACATCCCCAACACGTCTCACGCCAACAGTTAGGGACTTCATGGACTGGTGCAACGTGTTGCTTGAAGAAAAATCTGAAACCTCACCAAAATTGATAAGTTCAGTAGGAATGACACCACTTGTTGTCGTCAATTCTAACAACAACTAATAAACCTTTATACGACTGTCTGAGTTCGTGTAGACAGCTTTGATAAGCTTTATATACCTGCTCAGCTCTCCCTTCATAGTCAGACACTGCCACAACACTTTATGGTCGATAGAGTCAAATGCCGCCTTCAGGTCAACAAATATGGCGTGTCGGTCGACGGTGCTCCAGAAGCTGTTGGAGGATGAAAATGAGACCGATCCACCCTTCATTCAGGGAGCCGAAGCGTTGCTGTGAGCCGGTTGTACTGTGCTTCAAAGTGTTCTTCCTGCCCAACGTTCTAGCCGTCTGTTCTGGGAGGTTATCAGCGTCGCATCCTTCTCGGTGTTAGTTTAACTAGTCTTCGTGAACTTTTTGCTGGTATCCTTAATAAGCCTAAATAGTTGCAGCGTGTTAACCACTGGTGATGCTTTCCCCGTTTCTCCATCTTTTTAGGTCATCACACAGTACTCAACGGATGTGATTCGAAATTTAGTAGGATATCGAGTTATTGGCGATGGCATTGCCCTAAATTGCAAACAAATCAGTGAACTGAAACATGAATACCACTGCTAATTAGCCCAAAATATGGGATGAAAAGCCGGTATTTTAGCATCATCTAACACAAATGTAGGATCAGCAGGACAACCACTAAAAACCTGGAAGCACCAGGCAGCTATTCCATCTAAGACGGATAAGAAGTGCATACCTATGATCCCATGAAGGACCGAGCCCAGGATTTCAGGTCTTACGGTAAGCACGCTGCCCTTCAACCACTGGTTTGGAATTCAGTGGTCTAAAACCTCCTATTTCTATCGACTGGCAACATAATGCGACAACCATCCGTCACTACAGGTTTCCAATGGTTCTTCAGCTGATGCCAGTCACTGATGAATACCATTTTGAAATCAAGTAATCCCCACAAATCACCAAGAAAACAGGATGAGATTGGCTTAATCAACCGAAATTTGTTTACCCGCATTCACCATAAATAAATACAAAGGATGGACAAAAGTAACTCGCACCAAACAATACCTCACTTTCGAAAGTTTCTATTCAGAATTATAACTAAATTAGTTTTAATGTGTCTACATACAAATCTTAGATTGTTAGTGATCTATTCGAAAGGATAACTTACCTATTCTTACGTCGTTTTTTGCTTTCGCTAAATCAGCTTCAGCTCTAGTACGGAAGGTTTTGCTGGCAAAATTATATTTTCGAGTACTATGCAGTGTTGCAAGCAGTCGTTTGGTTTGCACTTTTCGACCTTGTAAGTATACCTTCATACGGGGATCAGAATATAGTATTGATACGTAGGCTCGAAGACTGCGTCTTTCTGGTGGGAGCCTGAAAGAACATAAATAAGGAAAGGACTGTTATAAAGCACGCATTAGATGTTTACCTTTAGTTATATTATACTACTACACCATGTTACTTAAGAGACTCAGTTCATTCTAAAATACTGTTAAGAAAATAAAATTAGACATGGCATAGCGGAGTGAATCCTATATGAAAGCGATAGGAAAGTGTGATGTGTAGCATTGGAAGTAAACTGATAAAACACAAAACTACAAACTAATAGTGAGAATATTCTTATACATAAGCAGTGTGCAAGGTTTAGTACTCGATAGTACAATGAACAAATAGTAAATAATTTCAGTGGTATATAATTGAAAGTAAAATTAGTCGTGTGAACCTTTCTAAATTAAAAAATATGTACACTCGACAGAGAGAACTAATTTTTTTAAACCGAGATTTTATCCAATTTATTTATTACGATCAATGAGTGTCATCAAAATACAGTGATTAAGAATTTTTATCAACAGACCTTTAAAAGTTTATGGAAGTCGTATCTACGTTCACTCAAAGTACTTCACTTTTAAGACCAAAAAAGTAGCAAAAATAACATTGATGTGGTCACTTAATTATTACTTTTTTTAAAAACACAGTGAAATGGATCAACCCTGAACTTTTTGGAGGATACACTAGGAGGTAGAAAAGTCCTATGAAGTATGGGTAGTTTTTTTCGGAAATAAAACAAGTTTGACAAGACTACATTCAGCTTACATTACATTTTGTGGGAAAAGTGTAAATAACTGGCAGACAACCAAGTTATCACGTACCAGGTTGTTAAAAAGGTTCCAGAAGCCAACTGCTATCTGTTGTACTCAACAAACGTCGTCAAATGTAATTTACTGTATCTACGCTTATGTTAGACGCATAAATAATAAAAATCCGTAAATCTATCCAAAACAAATCATGTCCAAAGTTTCAACAAGAACCAGTTTCTCATGCAAACCCTAAAGTTTAGTTAAGGAAGAGAAACAGCTTAGTAGGGAGTGACTCCTTCTAGATGGCATTTATTAAGGATAATTTAGTTGAGCTGAATAGAAAAAAAATCGCCACAGAGATAAACCATGGGATTATATTGAATGGAGATTGTTTGTGGCAAACTATTACTGATGCCCTAATAGACTTGAGACAAGAATAGGTTTCCGACTTCGTTGAGTCTAAACGACTCCCACCGTGATACCGAACTACCCTTCTGTATCCTCTTTATAAGTTATCCTTCCGAAACCATTTATTCATTCATTTGTTTGGTGTTAAACTCATATGTAAATAGTTGGGATCAGTGGTTGATAGATGAGAAGCACACCACCCTACTGAATACTCTGTACTAAAAAACCCACGGTTGTGTTTAAGTCTACGATGGGGTATCAAATGAGTTGTCTACTTTAAATGTCTGTTCACTCCATTTTCACAGACATGCCGGTGGAGGTCCTTTTTCCCTCGTCTAACTGTACAGCGATAGAAATTATCGCAGGGAACTTATCGAACAAATTAAAACACGCACACGATACAGCCCTACTAATTGAAGGTCCCGAAAAGATACATGGCTTTCTGGAAATCCTGGGTGACGGTGAGAATATTGTAAGATGCACTTCCTACTCCCCAAATAAAAATTACTGCTTCCCAACTTGTCTGCACTAATAATTCGTCTGATAATAGATAGTGAAGTGGTAGGGCAGGTTGATCACTTATTTGTGAATTATGAACCTTCATTGATTCAGTTAACTGGAATCCGTTACACATATGTAGTCGCCGTTTGCAATAACGCTGCAAAAACATCTGAGATGGGTGGCTACGCTCAGACTTGGTATCAACCCATAAGGTCCCTGAGCCGTTTACGGGAATTCAAACTTCCCGGATGAGGTCCCGGTGGCAATCAAAATCGACAACTGAAGACTAAGCGATATGGTTCATAAGTGATCGCACTGGTGCAGATCCATCCAAACCATCTTCCGTGTCAACTGCTATGTTACATTTTGCTATTTCCTCGAGCTCTTCTTTTTTATTGTAGCTTTCTATGACTTTTAGTTACCTTTTTCCGTCTTGGAGCCTTGTATGTCGTTGTGCTGATGTAGGATATGGCAACACGAAGTGTTATGCCGTAATGGTAGGTCTCATGTAGATACTAGGTAGCTGAAAACAGTGGTGAGTATGACATAATAGTAAATCGGTTTGAGCCACCACTTCAAAAAAATGGTAGCAGAAAATTAAGGGGATTAAATGTTAAATGAACTGTAAAAACAGTGGGGCAGAGAATAATCAGGCGAAAATCATCAAGGCCTGGTAAAAAGTGGGATGAATGTGTCTGCAACGCTGTGATTACTATTGAACTAAGGTAACTACTTTTTAGCATTTGTTAGACTTCGCTAGCCTTACTGCCATATCAGACTAATCGTGTTGGTATTTTTAAAGACTCCACAAAGATTTGGATACGCAAAGTAGCTGTAGGGATATAAAAGAATGTAATAGTATTGTGAAGATCTTTTTCAGGTCATACTTCTAGGGATGCAGTCTACCAACTGCTGTTGCATTGGGAGTGCTTAACAGTAACCAAAACAAATAAAACTAACGATTATTGATCAATGGGAGGTGATTCAGTACCTCATGCTCAATATGAGTTGTTTTTATTCGGGTCTAAATACAACATTAACGTGATATGAACTATACAGCAAAAGTGTATGTTGTATGTACTGTCATTGATAATCTCCAGCACAAAAAATTTACAAATCAGAAAACAAGTCTCATACTAAAATCTTTATCACAGCCAAAACGTACACGGAAAATGTAGTTCAAACGTAAGAAGTTGAAGACTTACCCCCTGATTGCACAATAAAAGAAAAATTTAGAAAGAAAATCATTTAGTTTTTTTGACTGACTAGATTAATTCAATAGAATAATGTTATCGACGACAGAATCGGGTGAGGTTTAGGGTGCTTTTAAATGGAAAACCAACATTAGGCTTTATGGTTGTTTTAATTAGATCCAAGTGATAAAATAGCAGTGTAGATTTTTCTAAACTGTAGTTGAATGGAGTAAACTGAACACGGTAGGACTAAGTTAGAAGGTATCTGATGTGGTCAGGTAAAGAGAAGACATCAATCCATAAATAGTTGGGTCAGGGAATGGAGTTTTAAAGATGTTAAGGTGTTTCCAAACATATTTGAAGTCAGAGAGGTTAGGAACGAATTTATCACCGGGAAAAAACTACACATGAGAAGACTTACTGACTCGTTAGAATGGGATTTAGGTGATAACTCGAAAAAACCTTTCTGGTTGCTTTAACTTCCCAATTTTATCAGTCACTTATTCATATATTTCGTATTTTGATCTTATGTAGCAGGGATAACAGCTTCAGGTAAATGAACAGATAGATCAACTTAAAAACTAGAACAGAAGTGAATCTCAAAAGTTGCCACACTTGACAACATCACACAAAGGAAGTGAGAACAAAAAGAATAATGCTAACAGTTTTTGGCAAAACTTATTTCTCATATTTTAAGGTTGCGTTCATTGAGTAAGTGCACACAAATCACGAATATCCATCGATAAGTATTATGTTCTACTTGAGTTCATACAGAGGCAGTCAGATTAACAGCACAATGAGTGACATCGAATGTAACTTCAAAAAAGTGCATTTTACGTCTTTGAACTTAGTACTATACCTACACCTCCAAATGTATGAGGTTCTGATGTCAAATCTCTTGATAGGTGGGGTGAATTATACAGATTCGCCATACTGTTAGGCTGTTTTCAAGTTAGTGATTATATCTGACAGACAGGCGAATATGTTAACGTAAAACCTGGCACAGAAATGCATCAGTTCATTTTGTCACACTTCACAGAAGCATGAAGAGAAGTGCGTAGTAAAAGATTAGTATAAAAGTAGACAAGACTTTATGAGAGCTGAGAAAAAGCGACAGAGGCTAATGCATCTGGAATTTTGAAGACAAAGACTGTATACATCTGTGCCATTGTGGTCCACGTCGCTTAATCTCCAACCATTTTCTCATGTCCTCTCGAAGACCCCAGAGGGATAAACTACATCCCCTTAAACAGTTCAGACGACTATTCAGTTTTGTTGACTGGTTTCGTCGCTCAGTTTTTTAATTAAATCTTATTTTAGCTATCATCATGAGTTAAGGTAAGCGGTGGTTTGGACATATGCGTGCCTAGTCACCTCAATCCATGGAAATTCACAACTTTATCGATCAACCTGCACTTGTTGCCTTTCTCACTTAACCGTCTACGCATAACCTTGACGTTACTCACACGGTTGCCCCATTCACGAGTGATGCTACGAAGACATCTATGGTTGAAAACATAGATTCTCTTCGCATCTACTTTCAATGACCATGTATCACAACTGTGTCACAGGACAGAGTCGAAGGCTGAGCAATGCACTCATCCCTTGATATGTAGTTGCGTACTTAGTCGGCTAGTGGATCTGTGGCTCAGTGGTTTAAGATAACTTTCAACCAATAGGCCCGCTCCACCTACCAAGGTTTGGGCAGTCAGGTAGTACCACTAGCCTTTACAGAGTAGGTGTGGCTCATTGCTTACTGCATAAATGTGCACAAGGTTCCTGAGTTCATTTCATCGACTTAGTCGACTCCGTAAATGATGTGATTCGCAAATTCGAAATAGGCTTTCTGTATTCGTGCTGAAATTTCGTCGAAAGTCAGTTTGTTATAGCTGATGAGAGTTCTTAAATCTGTGAAGTGATCAACGTAATTTTCATAAATCAAGTCCTCGTCCTTAAGGTGAGAGGTTAGTGAGGACTAGTTTGGCATCATTATCTTAGTTTGAACAAGAGTGAAACAGATCCCAAACAGACTCGGATTTCTGATTAGTGCTTTCAGAAGACCTCCTACTTTTCCAGCGTCTTATTCTAACAGTCTCCTAACTGTTATCTGCATGTACTGAGTCAACCATCCAGGATGTCAATTCCGAAAAGTTACAGGTTGTTACGGTTATATTCTTTAATGCATCTATAAAAA